CCTGTACAAAAGACTGTTGTCACTAAACAGAGGAGAGCGCAGTAATTGTTCAGAGCTACTGAGCTGGGTGAGATCCAAGGTTTATAAAAGCAGCCATGCCATGGCCAGTTAAGGGGTGGGCTCAAAAACGTGAATGAAAAGTTGTAGGATACTCATTAAGGCTATTCCTATTCTTTTCACTAGCATCTAGGGTTTGTTGTGGTCCCATGTAGATCCTATTGGATTGTTTATCCACATATTTAGAACAGTTATCCTCTCATAAGCATCCATATGCGAGCCTTATCATGGAAAGGGTAAATTATAAGTTTGTCACCCCATCTGTTACAGTAAGGCTTAGAATTGCTCGCTCACATGTATGTTGTTCTGAAATAATATGGACTCGTATATTTGGACATGTAGGGTTCATATATGGAGTTGCAATCCTCTTATTTTGGATCTGTCAGGGCCCTCATAATGGATCTAGCGCAAACATGTCTCTTGTTGGGTATCAACTCAAACTTCAAGTTAGGATTGTGTTTTTGGTTATTTGTATAACTTCATGAGAATTAGATAAGGTTAGAGATCTATCATGATTCGGAGTTTGGGTTTTATCATGATTAGGAGTTTGAATCATATTCTAATTAGGAAGTTAGGATAGAGATAGGGTTTTGGTTTCCCTATACATATTCTTCTATTGTTGGAGGAAAAATAAAGGAGAGTAGAGAGGAGGAGAGAGACAATATTCTTATAATCAACGTTTTAAAGGGTGTAACCGGGTTCAAGGGTATTATGAGAGAGATGGTTTGGCAGTCTTTGTCCGTACAAAAAATTATAATTTGGAGGTGATAGTGAATTGATTTTGATCCCATGGTTTTTTCCTGTTGAGGGGTTTACACGTTAAATCCCGTGTGATTCTATTTGCTGTGTTTGATGGTTTTCGGGGGTTTTGCGATATCTAAAAATCCCATCAAGTGGTATCAGAGGATAGTTCGACGGTTCGTGGAGGTTTGATCGGTGCGCGATTGGTGAATGCGTTAGCGGTTGAAGCGTGATGATCGACATCGGGGGAAAAAAAGAAGAAAGTTATTGTAGCAAATACTATAGTGGTAGCGGGAACATTGTTCACGTGGGTGAGGGTTTGGTTACAAACTATTAAATCAAATCCGACAGTGCAGATTGATTTATCTTTTGATCGAGAACTTAGAGGCGGGTTTTGGTGATCTAGGAATCGTTCCTAGGGTATTTCGACATGCTGAGTTCGTTTTTAACATAGGCTTTATCAAATTCAATCTCTACAGTAACTAATTTAAATTTTGATTGTGGTTAGAGGATGATGACTTCTTCGGGTCCGAAGTTTGATATTCCTATATACTACGACAAGACAGATTTTTTAGTATGGCAGCGAACGGTTTAAGATATTCTTGTGTTGCCGGATATTGATCAAGCTTTGAGGAGAAGAAACTATCACGCCCCGCTTCCCAAAATACACGGGAATCAGAACGTGAACAAGCCCATGACGTATTAGATTGAGGAGAAATAAATACTAAACTCTTTCTACTTAATCTAATACGCTAAGCGTCAAAATAAATTACGAAGTCATAGGTCCCCGATCACAATTAGCAAAAATATAATAAACAACTAAGAACAGAAATGATCCATATCATAAATAAAATATCATCCGAGACACAAAATCCGGGTCAAACACGCACTTATTACAAAACAGTCCAACTAAAGAAATATGAAAATACATAATCCAACAGAAATAGAAGTGAAGTACTGTAAAAATAAACTAAATCCATCAACTGACTAAAAGAGATAACTAAGATTCGGCTTCTTCAGCTTTGTCTGCAAAGCACTCTTGCTGAGGATACTCTGGCTCTGGCGTATTTCCAAGATGGACATGTTCGTCTTCTAAATCCGACGTACAACCCAAGAGAATAGGAGTACATCAGCGTGCATGGCACACGACAAGATTCCACAAGGGATAAAAGAAATGGCCGAATGACCAATGCAATGACAGTAATAATAAAAATAAAAGTATGCAACACTAGTAATTCTAACAACTAGATGCAAATCACCACTAGATTATAATAATCAGGAGAATAATCCAACTCATTCAAGAATGGGGTCATACTACTAACCATCATATAATAACTCACTGGTCCACATCTCAAATAGGTCAAAGTTCATATTCTCGGATAATTGACTGTTCACAAATCCTCTATGTGCATCCAATGCCACTACACGATATCAATCAGAGGACTACACGCAATCTGATTTTAGCCTGGTCTGAACTCAAGCAAAACTCGGGTGACTACATGATTTTCACTGACCAAAGTGACTACACGATTTTCACTTTGGCCCAACAAACCAACCCTAATGACTACATAATTTTCACTAGTGTGAATTTGGAAGATACATCAATAGCCACATCCGATCATAAGAACCAAGACTTTCCCATCTTAACTCTTCTTGTTTCTCTATGTCAACAAAAACAACTTGTAATAGATCTCGGGTTCACCACCTAAATTTAGTCAACGCACCCACACATGTCACTAAGTCTTGTTTATGACGCGCAAAGCCACTAAGCCATGAACTACTAATGATTCTCAATCACAATAAGAAAATAATAAATAAAAACAACCAATCTTGTACAACGATGTCATGACATATCACGTAATTAAAATTAAGAATCATAAATCATAAATCATAAAATTGTTCTAAAATTAATCTTCTAAAATAATAAATATATTTACTTAAAATAATCTTTTTACAAAATAAATTCTTTTAAATATTTATTATAATAATAAAATAATTCTTTTTCCAAAATAACTTCTTATAATTTATTATAATTTTCCTAAAATGATTTCGTTGCCAGAAATAATTCTTTTAAAATACTATATTTAATCTAAAAATACTACTTATCATATTTATTATCATAATAATTCAAAACTAACCTTTTTTACAAAATAAATTTCTTTAAAATTCTTTAATACCATTCAACAACAAATTCATGCATAATATCACAATATTCATACTACAACATAATTAAATCACAGTCTAATCTATGCATATAATTCATAACAGATCTAAATATTGAAATGATGAGTCAATGAGCAAGAGGGATATTGTCTCGGGGTTTTTGTCGAACGGATCGACGTTGTCATGCGAGACTACGACCCGCAGATGAGGCGACGGGGAAGGTGAAAGAGGGCAGCGGTGAGGTTGGCAGCATCGGTTTGAAGAGGGAGGGGGAGCTGGTGGTCGTGTATGATGGCGACCGGGGCGCTACCGGCAACCGGTGGCAGGCCTGCGCCACAGGGGCGCTCGGAAGTTCGGCAACGGCCTGTAGTTGGGAAGGAGAGGAAAAGAGAGAAATGTCGAGGAGAGAGCGAGGAGGGTGGTAGGCATTTTGGAGTGGCTACGCGCGTCGGCGAGCCGAGGAGGAAAAGGCGGAGAATGGTCGGGAGGTGGCACGTCGGCAAGGCGCGAGGGAGGAAGAGCTTGGATGGAGAGAGAGAGAGCAGAGAGAGGAGAGAGAGAGAAGGAGGAGAGGTAGAGAGAGAGAGAGAGAGAGATGCAGAGAGAGAGAAGAGGAAGAGCGCAGGTAGAGAAGGGATGGATGAGAGAAAACAACGGAGGGAGAGAGATGTTAAATGTTTATTATCTTTATTATATATATAATACTATATATATACTACTATATAATATCTACTGATATGAATATACTATATATAACCTAATATATATATATACTATATATCTGATGTTTGTTGTGTGTGTGTGTGTGGTGCGATTTCGATATATATATATACTATATATTATATATATATATATATAGATATAATATATATATATATGACAACTACGTATATTACTCTATATACCTATATATATATATATAGCTATATTATGTGTGTATACCACACAGCACCACACACACCACACCCACAGCATCATATAATATTATTATACTATATATATATAATATACATATTAATAATATATATATCTATAAGTATGACTATATACTATATTAACATATATATATATATATATATATCATATACATATTATACGTATCATATTATATATATATCACTATATCATATATAGTACTATATTACTCTATATATATATATAGTATACTATATACTACTGTATATATATACACACACCCACGGCCACACTCCCCTACCACCCTGCGCACGGACGCACCCGCCCCGAGCAGCCGCCACCCACATCATATATATATAATACATATGTGTGTGTGTGGTGCTGTGTGTCGTCGTGTGGTGTGTGTGTATGCATCGACGCTCGCATTTTAAAAGCACGAGTTTGAGAAAATCTTTCGGTAGACAAAAATACCCTTTAAATTCAAATACTAATTCATTAAGTAAGAGTAATTTGATAAATTGATAAATTCTTATTAGATATATATAGTATAAATTGATGAATTCTTATTAGATATACATAGTATGAAG